GCCGCGCAACATGGCCAATGTTCAGTGCCGCAACTGTGACGAGATGGGCCATGTCGGCAAGGACTGTCCCAAGCCCCGCGACAGTAAGTAAACTGATGACCCTAGCCGTCCAAGCAATCACTAACTTGGCAATAGCCACCCGCGTCAAGTGCTCCAACTGCCAGCAGATGGGTCACTACAAGTCGCGTTGCCCCAACTCCACGGTTAAAGAGGACTCTGGTGACGCTGGAGACGCAGGCTTTGGTAATGACTTCGGCGAGGCAGCTGACGGTGACTCTGCTGACGCTGGTGGCGGTGACTGGAACGCCGGCGGCGGCGGTTACGGTGGCGGTGACTGGTAGTTTACTACTGGTCCAGTCGCTGGCATGTACTGCTGGATGATTGTTCTGGAGAACAAGATTCTGAAATTTCAACTTTAGTGTGGTTTGGTTTTCCTGGAAAGCTTGGTGGACAAGGAGATTTCTTAGGGGTATTTCTGCTTGATCATCTTTTGATGATGATGTTTGAGAGACTCGGTCGGTTGCACCAAGGCTTGGGGGATATGGATGTTCAGTACTGGAGATAGGCATTCCCACAGGAGATAGTTGAACATGCATCAAAGTCGTTGATTTGAGACCCAAGATCCAATTGAAGCCCCTCTGATTGTAGCCTGGAGGTCATAGCAAGCATAAAGCTGAGTCATGGTAAAACCTCTGATGGACCACCATGTAGTCCTCGTGCAGTCGAACCGAACTAGACCGTAAACCAGTCCGGGCTATGACTGACACTGATAAGTGACGAGCGAAACCAATGATAGCTAGCGTTTGGCTGACTGACTCTTGCCTACCAGACACGTGTGACGATCATTTGGTCAGAACGCCAACCACATGGGGGATTGTAGCAAACCACGGTTCTCCCTCTGGGTGCTCAAGATCAATTTCACTCCATGTGCCAGCCTCCCTGAGCCACTTTCCAGTATCACGTCGAAGCTCACAACCGCCAATGAAGTGTGGCCAGATGAGATTGACAAAGGCTATGCATGCAGATAACTCCAATCAGTATCAAGGTTCTCTTTCCGTCTTAAATATGTTGAGAAACTGAAGACAACAATACCAGGAAGAAGAACCCGAACGAACGAGAAAAGGGGGTTGTGTGACTGCCAGGGGAGTCAAGGGAGAATTTTCAACATACCTTGGTAAAAGCCCATAGTGCTCGTGGATCGGTCGTGCTTCACGTGCTCGTAGACGTACCAGCGCCCACCGGGCTTGAGGTAGCCGTACAACATGGCAATGTTGCGCTCGGGCTCGGGGATGCTGCAGAGACAAAGCACAGAGACGATGCAGTCGACGCTCTCGGGGGCGACGTGGCCCGACGAAGCAAGGTCCTCGATGCCGACGGGGACGACCTCGTAGACGTCTTGGAGGTCGGCGGCGGCGATCTGCTCGCGCAGAAGGTGGTGGACGCCCTCGTTGGGCTCGACCCCGTAGACACGGGTGACTTTTCCGCGCACGCCTTTTGTGTCGGGGGTGCTGGTCTTGCTCTGCTGGTACCGGTCCGAGAAGATGGATACCCACATGCCACTTCCCGGGCCGATCTCCAGCACGGTGCCGGCGACGCCCAGGTGAGCGCCGACAGATGGCGACGAGGTTGGCGGCACAATGGCTCCGCGAGAGACCCTGCCCTCGAGGAGAGGGCGGACGATCTGCTCGGCGCCGGTGCGGACCTGCGGCCCGGCCCAGGACCAGAAGCGTGAGAACCAAGCTGCTTGGAGGCGCGGCCAGGAGAGCAGGGTGCGGAACTGGCCTGCGCGCAAGGCAGAGATGATGGTTCCCGGGAGGTAGGAGAGGGATATGCTCATGAATTTCCAGGGGAACAAGAGGGCGAGGACTATTTCGGATATGCTGCTGGTCGCCATGATGGCTTTTCTTATCCCCCCTTTAAGGGATGGCCAAGTTTTGAGGTGCGGATGTTTTGTTCTTCACGTTTGTCTTTCTGGTTATCGCCTCATTTCTTTCTTGCTTTCTTACTGCATCTCTGGAGAGGCCGCTGGGTGAAAAGGGGGGGAAGATAAGAGAGGGGTTGATGACCTTCTTTTGGGGAAGGGGGGCAATCAGAGTATTTAAGAGATTTGGGGAAGATAGGGGTATGTTTACAGGTGTGGAAGATTTCAAAGCAGTCGGCCGGGACACACGACCAACCCAAACCCTGGAGGACTTCTCCCCGGCCCTTTCAGGCTAGTCAAAACTTGCAGCATCCTTGTCTGCCGTGTGGATGACCCACTCGGTAGAGGTCTCAGAAGCTTTCGAGCTTCGCAGGATCTCCCTCGGATCGCTCAGATGGCATCATTGGAAATTTGAGCATAGCTCGTACATGCTGTCTTAAAATATCTCAACACACCCAACTTAAAAGAAAAAGTTCATGTCTGGCACTTGGCTCTTTTTACTCTCTCATAAATATAATCAATAGTCCTTTCCTCGACAAGCTCACGGACTTTTTCTTTTGGCTCTTCATTTTCGTTTTCTGCGGTGAAAGGCCAAAACTATACTTGCAGGACGGAGTACAGCCACCAGCTGTCGTGATAGCTACCCACTCTCACCTTATTTCCAGCTTCGCCCATTGGACCGGAAACGCAACCATGACTTCGATATCAACACTCCAGGCAGCCATCCAGGGCGCAGGTACCTCTGTAGCCGTTGTTGTACCATCACGGTCTGCCGATGCTGCTGCCCTGACCGTCACTTACGACGGCCTTGTGGCTGAGGTGTTATCGTTTCAGAAGAAGCTCGCCGCTATCGGCGTCACACAGGGTTCGCCCGTTTCCATCGCCACGGTTAACTCATATGAGTTTATCGTTTCCTTTTTCGCTGCCTCGTGGCAGAGGGGTATTGCCGCTCCGCTCAACCCTGCCTACAAGCAGGAAGAGTTCGAATTTTACATCGAGGATGTCAAGTCGGCCGTTGTACTCGTCCCCAAGGGCGCCTACGAGACCGGTAGCCCAGCCGTGAAGGCTGCAGCCAAGTTCAACGCCGCTATTGCTGAATGCTATTGGGATGCCGCCAAAAAAGAGGTCGCCCTGGACGTTAAGGAGCTCGGCCAGCTCAGGGGCAAGGGCGGCCAACCGCTGCTGAAGCCCGAGCCCGAGGACATTGCCCTGGTCCTGCACACCAGCGGTACCACCTCGCGACCCAAAGTCGTGCCCCTTACGCACCGCAACCTGACCCGGACGATGGGGAACATCCGCGACACGTACCAGCTGACCGCGGCGGACCGCACCATGCTCGTCATGCCGCTCTTCCACGTCCACGGCCTCCTTTGCGGCCTCCTCGCGCCGTTGGCCGCGGGCGGATCAATGGTTGTGCCCACCAAATTTTCGGCGACCGAGTTCTGGCAGGATTTCGTCAAGTACAAGGCCAACTGGTATACCGCCGTGCCAACGATCCACCAGATCCTGCTCAAAAACCCGGCGCCGAATCCGTTGCCGGCCATCCGCTTCATCCGGTCGTGTTCGTCACCGCTGTCCCCGACCGTCTTTCACGCGCTGGAAAAGACGTACAATGCCCCCGTGCTGGAGGCATACGCCATGACCGAGGCGGCGCACCAGATGACGTCCAACCCGCTACCGCCGGCCAAGAGAAAACCCGGCACCGTCGGGCTGGGCAAGGGCGTCGAAGTGGTCATAAAAAATGATACCGGCAAGACAGTCGAGCAGGGCACCGAGGGCGAAATCTGCATCAAGGGCGAGAACGTGACGAGCGGGTACCTGAACAACCCCACAGCCAACGCCGGGGCGTTCACCAAGGACGGATATTTCCGGACCGGCGACCAGGGAAAGAAGGACGAGGACGGGTATGTGATCATTACGGGTCGGATCAAGGAGCTCATCAACAAAGGCGGGGAGAAGATCTCGCCGATTGAGCTGGATAATGTGCTCACGAGACATCCGGCTGTTTCCGAGGCGGTCAGCTTTGCCATCCCGGATGAGATGTATGGGCAGGAGATTGGCGTTGCTGTGGTATTGAAGTCGGGCAGCGGTAGGCTTGGGCAGGATGAGTTGAAGAGTTGGGTTGGGGAGAAGTTGGCCAAGTTCAAGGTGCCGAAGAAGGTAATTAAGTCATGCTCTTTTCTTTTCTTTTTGGATCTATCTTGATTACTAACATTTGTGCCAGATTTACTTTACCGATGTGATGCCAAAGACGGCCACAGGCAAGATCCAGCGACGCATCGTAGCCGAGATGATGCAAAAGCAGGAGACCAGGTCAAAGTTGTAAATGTCCTTTGGTTCTCTTGTCAGTCCGCTCGGTTTATTTTACTAGAATGGGCTTGGCCGTATCAGCCGAAGCGGAGACTTGTGAGTTACCAAAATTTCTGTGTTTTAAGGGAGCGGGAAAAGAATTCGATTACGCTAGATTCCTGCTCTGATAGAGGCGTTTCTGTTCTGCGAATGAGGCGAAATAGGTTGATTTGGTGAAGCAGAGAGCGTATTTTTGGGAATACGTTCCTAATTTGGCGATATCTGGAATCGGAGACCCGGGTCGAGGTTGAAGACGTAGATATACGTTACATGCCTGTATTTATCGCGTTCCCATATCTGAGTGGAGAGACAGAGTGGGTTTGGAGACGGTGGATTGTATCTAAGGTATATCAAGAAGGACTCGGGGGTGGACAGTTCTGATGAGATGGACATACAGGAAAGACATAGAATGCGTTATTCCTCGGCACCACTTCCTCCTCAGATTGAACCATGAAGAGCATTTTCCTGGGTCATTATTAACGGGCATCTATTTTGAACCATCTAGATAGAGATTTGCACCAAAAAAAACGATTGCCGGGTTGCACAATCCAAGGTAGCCAGGTACTCCAGACCCCCGACAGGGCTTCCGTTAACTTGAGTAAAGGAGAAAATACAAAGTCATGATTATTCCAGTCACGGCTTATTCTCCCGTAGTAGGATTTATAAAGGACATGACCTGAGCCAAATCTCCATCGAACAATCCACTACGGCAGATGACCACATCTGCAAATCTTCCGTAGTATAGTGGTCAGTATGTGAGCCTGTCATTGGAAGCTTATCATGAAATATGAGACTTGAAAATAACTTCGCTCGAGACCCGGGTTCAATTCCCGGCGGGAGAGAGAGGCTTTTATCCTTGTTTTTTGATCATACAGCACAGCCCAAACCTACCAACGGCCGTCCTCCTTCTGGAATGGGCTTCTATAATAGCGGTGACCTAGAACCTACACAAATACCAGAATAGACTGAGTACATGGCTGAAAGTGGTTGTTCCTTAAACTAAGTGCGCGATGGGAGAGGGTACGGGGCTTGCTGGCCGTCATCGAAACCTGAGCATTGTCTCGTCCATTTGACAGCGGCAGGTGACCAAAGTCCGCACAAACAAACCAGTGGAATGAGACGCAGATAACTGCACTTGTCTCCAAGCATGAGAAGCAGCCTAAAAGTAGGAAGATGAAAGGGCCCCAGCAGGGTTGAATGTTCCAACATCGGTAGGATCGAAAACATAGACTTTACAATATCGAGTCAATTCCTAGCATCTCAAATTTGTACATAACTCCACGGGTGTTGATGAATCCCAGAGTGACATACATGATCCATTGTCGGCTCTTCGATTCGATCAAGTGTCCGCAGGCTGGGTGGTAGGTCGTGTGGTTGCAATGCTCGCCGGGCCGGGAGAAATCCGAACATTGGGCATCAAAAGGTAGTGGGTTCCCCTATCCAAAATGGCAGTGGACTGCCTGGAAATCAACCCGAAACACACTTCAGTTCACATCATCTGGCGCACAAAGATAGCAAGCAGCACACAAAACTCCAAATTTGGTGCTCAAAAGCGCATCTTTCATAAATTCCATGTCAAGCTACGCCGATGAACCGGACCCCTGATATCAAAAGCCTCCATCCCTGTGGTCGTGTCGTGTTGTAGTTGTGCGATATACCGTCGCGGATCCATGCAAGGTTGGAAAGTATAAACGGAAAACGGGAGTGTTGTTTCGATGAGGTCATGAGCAGCCAAAACCAAGCCCTGGAAATTCGATCGCTTAATCGAAAAGACCGAATCCCATGTCGTCGTCGGACTCCTCCTTCTCTGTTTACGTTGTCAGTATGCAAGGCAACGGCATATATATCTTGGCTCGACGAAGACTCACCCTCAACCTTCTCCTCAACCTTCTCCTCCTCAGCGGCACCGCCAGCGGCAGCGGCACCACCAGCCGCAGGGGCAGCGGCAGCACCGCCACCGGAGCCCACGTTGGTGAGGAGATCCTTCACGTCCTTGCCCTCGAGCGCCTGCGTTGCCAACATAGTCAGCCAAAGATGTTTCGGTTCCCTCAAATGTTCCTCGACCTGCTTCGTTCCGGCGAAACACTTGTGATCGGTTGTCGTACCTTCGCGAACAGAGAAGCCCAGATGGGCTCGACCTCGGGGACGTTAGCCGCCTTAATCAAAGCCTGGATCTTGTCGGCCTAGAATGATCGAAAAAAAGTTGTCAGCAAATTCCGAAGCTTCCAAATTCGTCGGCCGTGCCTCCCAGAAACCGGCACCGTATCGCAAACCAGCGCGGGGCTGTCCAGGTTCCGGTTGGGCAACTTCGTGGGCTTACCGTGATGGCGACATTGTCATCGGCGAGGATGAGCGCCGCGTAGGACGTTGCTAGCTCTGCGGTAGACATTGTGATTGTGTGTGGTCTGTCGAGAGCGCAAAAAGTGCTTGGACTCGAAAGAGGCTTTTGTCGTTGCGAATGTCAGGACGAGACAAGGCAGAGAGCTATGGAAATTCCGCGAAGAGGAAATTTAATTAGTTGTGTGCATTCAAAAACTTGCGGTATGACCCTACAGAGCGTGGCAGCTGCCGGACGCCTGGCGTGTGCTCGCCGTCCCTTGATGGGGTGCCGGCCAGAGGTGGGGCCCTGGGATGTAAGGGCGGTCGGGGAGAAATGATAATCCTGCAGCTCACTTGATTGGCTTAATTGGGCTGTCAAGTGCCTGGGAATCAAAAAGGGTTCACTGAAACATCCTTGTCGATGCGCCCCACCTTCGATCACTCCCCCACCAACTGCAGTGCTGACGTCGCTAGAAACAGCGTTCCTTACATGCCACGCCTTGCGAATCATTTCATCGCGAAATCGAAAGCCTGTTATTGATTGATCTTATTCTTTCTTTCGAAATCGATCTATCAATTGACCGAATTCTCAACTTCCTGAAACTTGAACACCCTCTGTTGCATCAATTGCCGTGACGACGAGCTGAAACCGGCGCTTCGAGAGCTCGGGGCGAACTCGGCGGACATCACGCGATAGGTCCCTCGGAAGTTGCGTTTGACATTTGATAACAACGTTGCTCGGAGCGGGCAGTATCGGTCAATTATCCGGTGCCCAACGTCTTCAGTTCACCTACTCAATCTCATCGACCTAAACCTTCAGAATTACACGCAGACCTTCTTGTCTTGTGTGCAATCCCCTCTTGTCATCTCGAGTCCCTACCCCGCGATCTCGTTGCGCACCATGGAGACTCCGGCCTTTCCACCGCCAAAAGACGCCCAGGAAGCGCAAATCCTCGACAAGCTCACTGTCATCCGTGACCAGTTACTGCTCCTAAAGAGAGACCGCTCGAAGTACATACGGAGCCAGGATGTCATGCTGCTTTACGAGCAGGTCGTGGAGCAAGTCAAGCACTTGAACGTGATTCGGAAGGGCGTGGACAAGGCAGAGAACAGATGTAGGACAAAGAAAAGAATACCATGGATATTAGAGCCTCGCTGATTTTCTTAATAGTGGACAGAGTATTAGAGAGCTGTCTACAACTTCTCTCGCTATTCTTCATGACGATTGGTCGGACGACCGAGGCACCGGCAGCATACGCGCTGACGTCGACCATCAAGAGACTACTGGATCATCTCACAGAAGCTGGTCTCTACTCATCGAAGGACCTCGACAGCATGTCCCACACAATCAGCGAACTCGACCGGGTCCTAAAGAGTACAAACTCTCAGCACTCGCCATACTTGGTCGAGCTCCTAGCTAACCGGCAGGAGGTCTGCAAGGCGTTACTTGAGAACCTGCGCAAGGAACTGGGAGAAATGGAAGATCCGCTCCCGAATACACACGAAAAATTGATTTCCATACTGCGATCAATGTCGCTTTCGAACACCAAAGCCAAAGTAAACTTTCCAGTCCTACCAGAATCACGTTCTACGTGCTGACACATCTCCCAGTTCTCCACAACTGAAGTTCAGAGACTCCAGGGCCAGCTGAAAGAGATTGACCAAACCAGAGTTGATGGGAATTTCGTAAACTCCGAAGGGAGAGTTCTGGCTGGTAGTGACAATGTGTCGGAGCTTCTAAGGAGGTGTCTTCTATGGTCAGACATCGTGCTTGAAAGGTATGGTCAAGCTTGGATTTCCATTCTTTCCTTCTCCGACTAACAATTTCTCTGTCCGACAGGAAAGGAGTAATCCCCGACAACTTTAGGGCCAAATACGAAGTGTTGATCGGCATCCGTAATGACCTGGAGAAGCTGTCCATCACACAAGCCTGGTCGCTGCGGGAGACGGACCTATATGACTACCAACGCGAGCTAGACAAGATCGACGAGAGCCGGGTTGACGGCAACTGGCTCGACGAAGACGGCCAACCGGCCGAGCTATACGTCCAGCGCACACTTCTGTATCTGATCCGACGCAGCTATGGCTACATCTACTACCTGATGATCTCATCGGAGCCGGTCTCGGAGGCGCTACTGCCGATATATAACCAGCTACAAACCCTGAAGCGTTGCCTGGTGGAGGTCAAGAATTCTGGTGGTGTGGGCTCGGTCAGGGAGCTGTACCCCTACAGCATGAAGGTGTGTTCTAATTCCATTTCAAAAATGGTGTTTCTAACTTTGTTAACGTTTTTTGGCACAGCTTAACTCTATCGACAACATGAGAGTGGATGGCAAGTTCATGGTTGGCGACGACATTCCTGAGGGCCAGGGCAGTGTCAGTGGGCTCTTGGCTGAGTGTTTTGAGCTCAGCTACGAGCTCAGGATTGCAGCAGAGGAGAGCGAAGGAGGCGGTGGTGATTAGTTTCCCGAAGGAATAAATTGGCAAGCATTGGCTTCTGCGATTTCCCTTCCTTTTCTCTAACCCACTTTCAGAGCTGAGTCTCCTGTACGATCCCTTTTTCTTTTGCTTTCGATTATGCTCTTGAGAAGGCAGTACCGATAATGCCAATATGTTCTGCTATTGATTATTTTTGTCGTTCTGATATTATTTGCATGGAGTTTCTGGGGGTTGTTTTCCTGAAGTGGTCGTCGATTGCTGGAGAGGAAAGTAGAACAGACAAGTTTACTAGTACTTTGTCTGTTGTTCGGAATACTGCCTACCTAGTGATTTCACACATTACATATAATGATGTACTACGGTGGTCATCACCATTTGGTCAGGAGATATAGCTCAGTTTGCAACACAATACAATGGCTTGTGACCGAGTTTAAACAGCCGTTAACTGATATCCAGCCTGTCCGTCTCTATGATCCCTGCTGGCCCGGGACGGGAATTCTGAAGGCACACTTGAGCGGCCACATCTGGGCCTATTGTGCGGGAAGATGGTTAACAATGGCGTGTTGAAATGAGGTAAAGAGCAGATCAGCGATGACTGAACGACAGCGCAGAGAAGAGAAAACGCACATTGTCAACATCCCAAACACCCTTTTCCGTATAGATGTCCTTCTTGAGAATGCTAATGACTTCTTCCCTGCTCTCAGCCACGGCGATGAGTGTGCTGCCGCACATTTTGAGGCTGGAGGGCTGGTCGTCCACCGGGACTTCGTCTAGGATGGCCCCTATTTTGATGTCATGTCAGCCCCCTGGGTATCTACAGCTTGGACATATCGAAGTTTCTTTTTCTATAATGGCTTTAGGCCGTGGTAGACGGAAGGCTTTGGTTGACATGAATGTGCGCTCCTTGGGGAGCAAAGCTCGGAAGAGAAGGAGAAAGATAGAGAGATGAGGTAGGAATGGGGGATTATGCGCTGATCAATGCCAGGCGAAATCTCGGACGGACCTCCCATCTGGTAGACACCCGACTCAAGTTTGGGCTTCAGGCCTGCAAAGTGTAGTCTGTGTTAAAGCAAGCACAATGTCA